TTTTGGGTTTTTTTCGGGGGGGCGTCCCCCCCCCAAAGTAGCTTTCAAGGGGCTGGCCAGCAGCCAAGGAGCTAGGACCGCACAGCTCTAAGTACACTCAACTGCATTTTCTGACTTGGTTCTAGCTGGCTGTATACCTTGAACTGGCACTGTTGGGGAAGGCAAATTGAAAGAGCATGTGTGAGTAGCTTGGAAGTGTGAGCCAGAAAGTGCCTCTTGTTTGTGCAAGAGGGAAAGCATTCAACATCCGCTGGGCAGGGAGGAGATGGTGAGACCACTTCTGTGAGGAGCTTAAGGAGATTTTAATGTTAAAAATGGAAACAGCCAGCTGTATAGCATCGTTGATTTTGAGTGGGCGTTCATTTTAAGTTACCTGCCACAAAAATGTTGCACAAATCTACTCAGCCAATATGATTTACTCCATAGGCAGAAGTTAAATGAAATGCACAACAGCACTAAAATATTTTCTTGAAGTCCATTAGTGACCCATGCATTACTTTCTAGAGAACTTCATCCTCTGGATCTGGCCTGTGTATTATATGGAGAAGAATTTCTTATAAGATACACTGGAACATTTAGCCAATTTAAAAAAACCCGAACAAACGAACCTCAAAAAAAAAGTATAGCAGAAAAAGAAGGAAAGTTAAATAGTTTCAGAAATTTTAGTCTTTTTTTTTTTAATAAAAAGGAGAGAATAATAGCTGGTTTTCTTATCTGTTAGCAGCTTTAACACAAAAATATTTCTTTTACTTTTTAAAAATAAAGATTCCCCAAACCATGTTTATTCTGCCTTCTGATATACACACAGTATTGCTATCTCCATCTACTGTAACTCAATAAAAAAGAATCAGGCACATATAACTGCAGGGCAGATAATTTGTCTTTACTGTTGCTCAACTTTTTTCCTGTAATGAATATTCCTGAAAACAGTTGTGGCTTCTGCAAAGGGAAATAGTGTGTCATTTGTGGGGAGGGCACGAGGGGGGAAGTATTTAGGAAGCAAAGAAGAATGAAATTCCCATCAGTTATGATTATGAGATTGTCCAATAAAGCAGTTAAAAGCACCACTGAAAATATATTGCTTGAAGCAAGATACAGGTTGCCAAACACTGATTTAGAGGCAAGACAAATAATATCATTGGCAGACCATGAAACAAGGCTCACTTTTAACAGCTCTAGGAGCGCTTTGCTAAATACAAGATGTCCCTGAAGCAGGATTTGTTTGAAGGGCTTTTTAAAGGCTGACAAATCTAACTTTATTATCTCTTTCTTTAATTGAACAAAACACCTCCTGGAAAAACAGAGCACGGCTTTGTGTTTGTGTTATGCATAACAGAAATAAGTTGATCACTACAGTTAAGCATAGATAAGAAATCAAACAATTGTTGGATGTGTGCTTTCCTTGCCATCATAGTCCTACTGGCAACATTGTGAACCCAAGTTTTCTAATTAATTGTAATCCAGTGGGAGACTCTGGACTCACTTTTCCAAATGCAAAGGAAATGTGGATGGTGGACAGTGCTGGGCAATGTCAAAGTTGCTTTTGAAGATCTCTGCCTTCTGGGCCTCCTGTAGCTCAGCCCATACCATAATACGCTATCATAAGCTCTCCGTGTACCTTGTGGGCTAGCAGAATGCTGGACTGTATCAGGAGAAACGCAGCTAGCAGATCAAGGGAAGGTGATATTGCCTGTCACATACCATTTGTGAGAACCTGGAATACTGTGTTCAGTTTTGCTCCAGATAGAGTTTGAAATAGAGATGTTCAGATGAGATATAAAGGAAAAAGTTAGCACTGTGCGGGCAATTAAGGGTTGTAACAGTGGTCCAGACGGGCTGTGCAATCTCCATCCTTGGAAATTTTGAAGACCCAACTGGACAAAAGTCTGAACAACCTGGTCTGTGTTCAGCTTTGACCTTGCTTGGAGTAGCAAGTTGGACTAGCTGTGTCCCAAGGGCCCTTCCAGCCTGCATGGTTGTGATTGTATGCAAAGGAGCTTCTAATGATCCTTAAGAGGTAATGTTAGTCATTTCCTAGGCCATTATACAACGTGTCCCACTGACCAAGCAGCTGGTAAAAAACCAGGTCTCTACAAATGTGCAATGCTGAGCTTGCAAAAACAGCAGCCTCTGTAATTAATGAGCAGAAGTGGGCCGGATTTTGGAACTTGGTTTCCACTGGGATACTGGATCTGTGAGTCAAGATGAGAAGCTTGATAATTGGTTGCTCTTCTCTCTTGTGGAAAATACTGGGCGATGTGCTTTGGTAGTGGTTTCCTAGTGATTTGTGACTTCTGTGGAAGTCTGAGTCATAGACTTAACGCCATGCTGAGTTCTTATATTCTTATATCAGAAACTTTTTAGCATGAAATTAGCTATATTTCCTCTGAGTTGGGAACCAGTATTGCTCTCAGCAAGCCAAATGCCCCTTATGTCTAGGGGTAGTCTCCTTGCATAAGGCATCTGATGTTGCGCTCTGCAGTATACTGAGGATTTTATACAGGGCGACTCAACCATTTCAGGTAGCCAATTTGCTGAACAATGTGATGTCACCTGTCACTGGCAGCATGACTGTGACATTTTCCCTTACTAAACAAAGTTTGCTGCTAATAAAAAGGTTACTGTTAAGTTTGATTAAATAGCTACTAGGGAAAAGAGAAATAGTCACCAATTTTTCTGAGAGATACTCCTGAGTAACAAAGGGAGATACTAATTGCTCTAGTACAGGTAGAGGGTATAAGTCATGCTTTAGAGAATAAGCCAGCAGTGCATATCCTCTGAAGAATTTGTACAACTCTTCCAGGCTGCACAGTTCATTATTTTGAACTGGATAGACATGTAAAAGAGAACATTTATCATGTAAAAAAAATTATTTTTTTTTTAACACACAGGCTATTAACCAGGCAGGAGCTGGACCCTACAGTGACCTGGTAACCTGCAGAATCCCTGCATCTGTGCCTAATGCAGTCTCTACCCTTTCCGTGCTGGAAGATGAGCACGTGGATGCCTCTGAACTCTCACCCTCTGTGTGCCTTGTACTGAACTGGGAAGAACCATGCAATAATGGAGCTGAGATAACATCATACAACATTGACCTCGGTGACATCAGCATTCCAGTAGGAAATGTTACTAGTTATGTTATCAAGGATTTACTTCCAGAAACCTCATACCAGTGAGTACAATTTTTTTTGATGTGGTACAGAGCACTTGGGATGAGATCACACAGCTTGATTTTACATAGGAAATGTTTATGGCGGGGGGGGGAGGACAAACACCAAAAAAACAACCACCCAACCAACCAATAATTCCTTTATGGAATGAATTGCAGTAGTTCATGTTCAAATATTGCTTTCTCTCCCCCTTTTTCCTCTGTCTTCTCCCCTTGCATTATCTCTGACGTCTCCTTCTTTTTAGGTTGCTCTGCTAAGGTAAGGCTACACTGGTAGGTAAATAAACTTGAAAAATGGGAAATAACTAAAATTGGAATCTGACATCTCATGTTTTTTCAGGTGCTTAGCAGTACTATTCCAGAGGTTTACATTATTAACTGTATTGATCCCTGTGAGGGCATAGCAGTTTGCAAGCAATGAACTTTTATCTGTATAGCTACAGCTATTTTTTGTTTCTAGTATATGGAGATTAATTAAAAGATAATCTGAATTTAAAAACAATTTCTTTATATTGCTTCAGAGTCTAAATTTCTAAGTGACCTTGCCAAAATTTGATTATTATTTTAATGTTCAAGCTTATATGTTTTTTTCCCTAATTGCTAATTTTAAAAAAAAGAAAACTGTTCCATACAGGCAGTGAACAGCAATACAGCAGAAGATGTGACAGAAGAAATTCTATTTTAAGTGCTGTTCTAATAAAAGCTGAAATCTTGATTGCACAGTTATAAAATTAGACATGGCACAGACCTGTAATATTTTTCTTTTTTATTTGTATTCAAGGTCACAATCCTACAGGTCATGTAGAGTTTAAATGAAAAATTCATTTCTAAAATTTTATCATGTACCCAAAAAAGAGAACTTGTAGCAAGTATGCAAATACATATACTAGAAGTTATTTAAAGCAAGGAACATATCTTGCTTGCAGTGCCTAGTACAGTAGTTCCTGATCTTTGCCTAGAATATCTAGGTTTTAAAACCATGTAATAAAAAATAAAGATGTAGATTTATTAAAAATATATATATCCCTCTGACAATCTGAAAAATAAGACAAAATCGGAATTTGGTGATTTAGAACCTGTCTGTTCCAGACCAATCATATAAATCCAGGAAATGCTGACTACGTTATTGCTGTCTCCAACTTCTTCCAGTGGCTTGTAACGCTGTGATCTTTTTTGACAAAGGCAGTAATGAAATACAAGCTTTTTCTTATCTTCTGCTGTGTTTATTTCAGATCCTGGTTTTGTGGTCAATTTAAGCTAGCATTGCTGTCAAAGGAAGCCTCTTCTCCCCGCCTTGTGTTGTCCCCACCTTTGCACCAGCAAAGTGCTGTCACACCGTTCCACACTGGGAAAACTGGTCTTCTCAAAAACTAATCTTATTTTTTTTACCGTGTAAAAGGGTAGAGAGAAAGGAAGGGGTAGAAGAGGACAAGACCACCTCTTCTAGTGGACATGCGGGTGTAGGCTAGTTTAAAGCGTTTGTGAAAATACTGCACAGGAATAAAGCTGCACAACGGTTTGAGCTAATTCAGGTTTTTGTTGTCTTACCTCCTCCATCTCCATGTTCTCCCACGTTTCTCACTCTGCATTGTGTCAGCACTGGTGCTTATGTGATCTTACTCTAAGCCAGACCAGGGAACCCAACTGATGGAAGGCGAGTCAAAAACCTAATAAAACTAGGAAGAAGTTGAAGAGTTTGTCTATTGACTGGCTACCTAGCTGTGGAACTGCATCATCTGTGGGCAGTCTCATACTCCTGTTTTCTCCTTTTATGTTCAATCAAGAGTCAAAACAGCTAGAGCAACGCAGTCAAGACAGCCAGAATGGACCATCTAAATTCTTCACTGAAGTCTTCCTTCTTCAGTCTCTTTTTTAGCTGGTTCTGGGTTGTCTGCAGCTCCCTTTAGGGAAATATCCTTGTCTTCAAAGCCTGGAAATGGAGATATGGAATGAAAGGATGGGCAGGACATTACTGTTCTTTATAATCATGCTGCAGTCTTGTCCATGAGGCTCTTACTGCAGCTACCATGAAAAGTGGTGTTACACTGAGATCATACTGGAGGGTTTTTTTATTTTATTTTTTTATTCTTATGTCATTATTTTGTAAAAAGCACCATATTAAATCATGTATTTTTAGTCAGGGAGTCTGCTTGTCTCTGATCCAGATGAAAAGCCTAAAGCACAAGCATTAAGTGCAACTAAATATTGTTGAACAACTAAGTTCCTACCAAAAAAAAAAATCATTGTGAAGAGCACAAAACAGTGGATGACTGATCAGAAGTAATAATATATGAAAGCTCTTTTAAATAAAACAAAGGAAAGAAACCCCCAAATCTTGCATCTCATGCCTGTCAGGGAAGACAAGTGACTGCAGTTGAGTTGCAAAAGCACCTCATCTATAGTTTGAAGTATTTTTCTGCTAATAAAAATAGGCATGTCAAAGTGTATTTGCTACCGATCATTAACTCTTTCATTAATATTTCTTCTTCAAGCCTATCTTGACACCTGTCTTTCATCAGAGAGTGTCTGTGCCTTGATAAGTGTATCTGTAAGAAGCATGTTTATCAAGCTGAGTGCTAAAAGGCGGTGGGTTTTTTGCCCTCCTTGTTTTAATCAGAAGAGTGTTTTAGACAATCACTGATCTCATTCTCTAAATTTGTTCACCAGTGGTTTTTCTTTTCATGTCAACTTTGTTTAACTCAACTAGCTCTTCTGTCTCTCGAGTGTTTATTCCCTGCTGTGTTTAAAAGCAGTGAATGTGTTTTCTTCCAGGCCTTGTTTTTCCTAGATTAAACCAGCCAAATACTACTGGGTTTGAGGCTCTGAACTCTCCTGCCAAAGTTTCAACAGAATTCGAAGTAAATCAGCAAAGGGCTTGTGTGTGTTAGTTGCATTGGAATTTCACTGTCAATGTTTCTGTTTGTGGGAACTCAAAATTGAAAGCAAATCTTGGTGGTTATGAATCCACCAAGTCTAAAATTGGAAAGGAACATTGTTTTGCATAGCGGTGTGATTCTAACAGTGTGTCTACGTGTTGTCCACCCTGTTGGACTTGTTAGCTTAGGTCTGGCATTGCTTTGCTGCTTGCAGCTTCTGTGTGGGAATGGCCATACATGAGCAACTCAGGTGTACACTGAGCAAACACCAGGCCCTTTGCGGAGGTGGCCTCGAAAGTGACAAGTTGGATGGTTTCTGTGTCTTAGTAGCAAATCCAGCCAGCGGGCCACAAGAAGGATTTGCATCCCAAAATACATTTAAGACAAGAGGAACTGGAGCATGCCTCTGCCGTGCTGCTAACGGCCAGCATAGGGCTGATTTCAAGAGGACTTCTCCACTGTCAGACACAGACCAGCACTCCTGTTGCAAAAAGCAGATGCCTCGCAAAAGCACTATGTAAACGTCATTGCTGGTGAGCAGCTGCAGAAATATGTCTGAGAGTTCTGCAGTCTTTCCATTTTATTGACATAGCTGTGAAGCTCTCTGGAAGCTCTGATTATAGCTTAAAAACACTTGGACTGGTTTTCTGTGAACTGCTGTCGCTAGAAGTGAGTTAATAAGTATTCCACAATAAATAACTATGCAACAGTAATAGAAATACTAATTTTCTGTTACACTGTTCCCAAGCTTCGTTCAGCGCTTGCCATGGTTAATAGTGCTGTGCTGTTGAGGTACTTCACTGCAAAACAACTTCCGATTTTTAAGAATGCTTATGTTCTTCTGAAGTTACATCGTTTACAGAAATACATAGTAGCCTTATTAAATTTTAATAGCAACACTTAATTTGGTTTAGGAATAAAAATTCTAGACATTTTACATTTCTAAGCTGTATCGAGGAAAAGATCTTCCAAGATGAAGAGAGAAGAATCCACAGGGATGCTTAAGTTAGCAATGCTTAGGTGGGTTATAAAACAAAATTTGTACTTCAGAGTGTAAAAGTAGGTCTTGTTCCAGCCCCAGAAGAGTGCAAAGTGAGTGGGGATCTGTGGGGCTGGCTTGTCCTGGGGGCTATGTGTGATTACTCCCCATTCTATTCAGGGTGCTGATGGTGGTGGGGCATGCTGCTTCTCCTCCCTTTGGAAATCTCTGGCATTTTAACTCCTGCAAGTTTCCACAGGCACATGTATTGCAACTGGTGGCGTTCCACTTATGGGAACTAGCAAATCAAACTCTTCTCATGTCAGACTCTTAAGATTAATTCAAAAGTTGATTTTTCAGTTTGTTGGAATACTATACAAAGGATTTTGTGACCAATCTGAAAATAGCATCCTGTTCAGTGTGTTTATTTTCCTGGGTCGAGAATGTTAGAATGGTTGGTTAGAGATCTTATAATAGTTTCTAAATTTGCCTAGTCTGATTTATTTTTTTCTAAATGTTTAAAAGATGCAATAGGAAAATGTGAGAATGAATACAAATATTATTGGTCCAGAGTCTGCTGAATTAGGTACCATCCCTAAATATAGTCTTTACATTTGCAAAAAACTTACTTTCAAATTGTGATTGTCAGGTTTTAAAACCACCTTTCCGAGACGCTGTTTGGGGTATTTTAATTTAAAACCATTAGTGAAAAAGTTGAATTCAGGAAGTGGTTTTATTGCAAATATTTCTACATGTCTATATACTACTTTTACACTAAAATAATTGATTTTTCCCAATGTCAGTTGTGTGAATAGTAATTTGTTTCCACTTAATTGTGGAAGTTACCTTACCTACCGTGGCTGTACCACCCAGCTGGAGGAGCTCCGAGTGTCGCAGGCTGGGGCAGGGGCGTGAGAAAGCACCTGAGCTGGAACAAAGATGCTGCAGTACAAGGCATTCTCCCTCCTCCAGATGGTCCTCCTTTCTCCCTTTCTTTTTCCCTTCTTCCTTCTCCCCTTCCCTGAGGATATTTCCATTGTGGATACACTGCTGTGGTTCAGAGGGAGGGGACAGCTGGGTCTGGGTTGTGCTGCCATGTGCACAGAAAACCAAAACTAGTCGTTTGTGCGTGGCTAACAAGCTCAGGACCTGGGAATGGTAGGGGCAATTTACAAAGAGTTTTATGGTGGTATAATCAGCAGAAAAAGGGTAGCCGCATCCAGCCATGTTAAAGTCAAATAAATCAATTCTTGCTTTCCGAGTCTCATCATACATCTGGAAAGATGCCTGTCTCTATTTTAAGACTTAAGAGTTTCCATAAGTCTTACAGTGCTCCAAAGTCAGAAGGGGTGCTGGAGGGTGTGCGTATTTGTGTGTGTCAGAAGGTGGGAGCAAGAACACCGTGCAGCAGATGGAAGCAACAACAAATGAGGGAAGAGACACATTCTTACCTTGTGCAAATACCTGGCAAAGGGAAGACAAGTAAATGCAGATGTATGTTCATGCACATATCTAAAAAGCACATCTATCAGCTTCTGCTTAAGAAATGGGATGTGATATTTGAGAGAGATTTGTTTCAATTGCTGCTTGTTTTTAAGTGTGGTAGCTGCCATTTGGAAATGAGTTAAAGTTATGATGCTTGAGGACAGGAGAGGCTTTGTTGTTACTGGGATTTTGGATTATACAAAATAAAACCCAAAAAAAAGGCTAGGTACTCTAGAGCGTGTTGCTGTAATCAATCTACAAAAAAGTAGTAGCTTTTTGTAATGTAACTGTTTCTGTGCATGTGCTAATGGATAACTTGCCAGAATCCAGCAAAAATCCAGGCAGTTTTCACTTTTTTTTTTTCCCTGGAGAAACCACTCAATATTAATGTAATGACTCTTCAGTCTGAAGCAAACCAATAACACAATATGAAATAAGATCAATGCCTATATTAATTACACTTCTTAAGATACTAGAAAAGCCTTTTGTTCTTTCTATGTCAAATGCTTGTATGCAGCAGTTGAAGAGGAGGCTCCCACTACATGTTTCTTCGTACCATCCACCCTTTAGGAGGAAGAGGGTGAGATCACCGTTGTATAGTGTTGTAACGTGGTCAGGATACATTTCCTGAAATCAAAAGGAAGGTTAAAAGGAAAATGCAGCTCCATGCCAAGCAATGCTTTTACCCTTGTTAATGGCTGGGTCAATAAGCGAAGGTTTAACCACACATTTCCACATGGCTGTGTAAACACAGTGCATTCTTACAGTGTACAATTACTTTATCTGCCTAATCGGAAGATAAGGCTCTATTATTTTGCAATATGTTTATTAATCTTTTAACCATTTTTGTTCTTGAAATTGCAGAAAATATGGGGGTTTTTGTTTTGTTTTTAATGGAGAGTGTTGTTCTCTGGAGGGTTTTTCCTGTCCCTTTAACTCTGCCTAATCTTTTTCTAATGGTAGAGCTGACAACTTGCTGTTCAAAGTGAAGTAATTTTTCATAGGTTGTTTATATGAACTTACATTGCTTTATGTACTTCAATCAAAATAAGTAGCTATGCCAACCAAAGACAGTTCTATTTATCTTCTGCTTTCTCTGAAGCAGGCAGTTGTAGGGGTGTACCAGGTTCTGCTCTTCTCCCCCTACCACCTTCCCCAGGGACTTCTGGCTGCTTGGTGGCTGATCGTTTTGAGAAGAAGCAACAGTTCTTGTAGAGAGTCTTTTCCCATGAGAAAATACTAGGCTGCTGTGCACAGGATTTCCAAAGTAAATGGCATCTGTCCAGCTATCTAAACCAGGCTGAACTATCTAGAAAATGAATTAGTTTGTCCATCCTGTTTTCTCTTATTTTCACTTTGATTTAACAAACTTTGGAAACTTTTCAGGCTCATCTGTACCAGTATTTCTAGTTACACAGTCCTCAAAGCTCTTTCAAAATGCATATTTCACATTTTTGTTAGGATGTTGATGTTACCATAGTAAAAGAATACTGTTTTTCAAGCATTCCTGTAAGCAGATTCTCATTGTGATAATTATTAAACTAAGTTGCAGACAGATAAGAGAAAGTGACAAAGCAGAAGCCAGGAGTCATTCTCTTAAGAAAGAAATAGAATTTAGACGACTGGCGGAGTCTTAAGACTATTTCCAAATTAAAACTTTTATGACCAGTTAGGTCGTCTGCTTTTCTTTTCTTCTAAATGTCTTTAATGCGATTCAAATGGCTTGAGCTTTTGTGCATCTTGTGGGAGTGACTTGAGGCCAACTTTTATTTGATCTAGTAGATAGTTCACTGATGGTTAGTATTTCCACAGTTTGTGTAAGACATGTAGAAGGTTTGTAGATTTAACCTTCTCGGTTAGCTCTTCCCAGTAGAGTTTCAGATAGTTAAATAGTGTGCTTTGTGAGACACTGCACACACTGAAATAATACTGTTCTTTGGTCTTCAGAGATACTTACCAACACAGAGATGGGTTTCATGGCAGTGACACCAATGCTTTTACTTGATGTTCTCACCTAAATTAGTCCATGACCTTTGTTAGACAACCACAACACACTTCTGCATTGTATTTATTCATAGTTACACGCTTCATGTTTTCCAGATTGGATTCGTATCGGTGTTGCTCTCCCTTGTTCATGTGGTTAAAGGGACTGCCATCAGGTTCTGAGATTGCTTACCCAAATCTTCCCCCCTCCGCTTTACTGCATTTCTTGGTATCTTCACTGCAGCTCTTACACTATAAACAGGATGATAATACTTGTTATGTTTACAGAGCCTTTCATTTTGCCAAAGCAAAGTACTGAGAGCTGGGAGCGGGCACTGTGTTAGTGACGAAGCAGTCAGGTCCAGAAGGCTGTTTTGTTTCTCAGGACTTTTTTATACCAAGAACCTCGTGAAAGCACTTTCTTTAACATTTATTGTTGTTCATTTTAGGATCAGGATCCAGGCTGTCAATGAAATTGGAGCTGGACCATTTAGCCACTTTATTAAAGCAAAAACCAGGCCGTTACCACCCTTACCTCCTCGGTTAGAGTGTGCTGCAGCAGGTCCTCAGAGCCTGAAGCTGAAATGGGGAGACAGCAGTTCCAAGCTTCACGTTGCCGATGACATGGTCTATATCTTGCAGATAGAAGACAGAAATAAAAGGTAAGAGATCTGAATCTTTTCCTTGTGTAATTAAAATGAATTCTGGTTCGTCATAATGCAGTTGCGAATCATGGTAAGAAAAATGTTGTTTTCCTGATTACTTCATGCCTACAAATATATAGAAAATATTGTTTTAATAGGGATTCTGTGCCTGTAGTCTAACCGAGCAAATTATGTAACAAAACTGTTAAAGTTGTTGTAGAACAACTGAAATCAGTGCTGTACTGTTGAAAACTTAGCAAAACCCAGGCCCCTCTGCCAATAAAAGTTAATACCAAGATTCATGGTCATAGTGCTTTACCCTTTGGAATATACAAAACAAAGATATGCCACCCAACATGCTGTGTGTATTAGTAAAACAAACGGTTACAAAATCAGAGGTCTAGGAAGGGCACAACTGAGCAGAACAAGGTTTTTTGGGCAACATGATGGTCAGGATTTTGTGACTTATTTTGTAATATTTTGGAGCATTAGAAAATACGAGCCTGGCATCAGCTTGGTAGCTAAACAATAATTATGAAATAAGGATGCAGAAGAGCTCATCCACCATGTTTCACTTCCCTAAAATTTTCTTCAAAGCCATGAGAGCTTTTGGTAAGCAAGAAAGACAAAAATGAACATTAAACAGTCAGTGCTCAGCAAAAAGTATTTTTCCATGCAAGCTTTGTATGGGAAGGTTTGATAATGTAGCTCCAAAGTTGTGATGGGATATATTCAGTAAAAGGAGGGAAGGAAAGAAAGGCGATATATGAGTATTGCCTAACAGCCTGAGCTCTTCAATGAATAAATATTGTAGGTGGCTCATAATTTACCAGGAAACACTCTCAACTAGTTTAATTAGGTAAAATAACTGACGTATCAAGTAGATAATCCTTAGAGACCTTCAGTACAGATCATAATTTGGTGTAAATTAGCATGATTCCTTTAATTTAAATAGAGCTGTGCTGAGTTTATGCCAGCTGAAGATCTGGCCCAAAAGCTCTAATTGTGAGTAATGAAACCACCATGAATAATGCCTAAATACTTCCCAGTATTTCAACTGTACTGATGCAGGGAAGGTACATGCTCCCCTGTATTACTACTGAGAGATGTCCAATGAATATAAATGCCCATTTGAAAGTCTGACTGATAAGAACAGTTTCTTCAGAGTGCAGTGATGCTTAGCAGGAGCCCATCACCTGCAGCAGCGTGTGATCAAGTCAGCTCTAAAGTAACATCCAGCAGGCTGCTTTTGTTTGCTTTCATGTAGCACTGCAGGTAGGATGGTGAAGAACTGTAAATTATTTTAAACCTGTTTTTATGTTGGAGAAAATAATAAATTTCCTTGTAAGAATAAAATATGTTATGTTACCTGGCAGCAGAGAAAGCAAGCTTTTTCCCCTTTGCTTTTGCACAAAGCTTTAGCAGAATCCTTTGCTTTTGCACAAACTTTTCCCATTGCAAATGATCTCTTAAGAGCTGTTAATTAGGAGGAATTTGAATTTGTTACTCTGCTAGGTCTTCTTAACTTTACATTTGGCTTACAGTCCATGTAAGCTCCCAAAGATGCAGAGAAACTACTCATCTATGTTGCCTTGTCTCCTCCTGCTTGAACAGAGTCCTTCCATGAAATGGTTTCCTTTGGTGGTTGCGTTTGTAGCAATTAGTACAGATAATACCTGAAATGAGCCGTAGCGCTGAACCCTCCGGCTAGTGAAGTGCATACCAGTGTGGGCACAGCAGAGGAGTCGAATTGGTGCATTGTTGTCTGTGCTGGGTGCTGTGTTTGGGAACAATTGGAGCTGCCAGGTCTTGGCAATAAGATCTATTTATTTGTTCCCTGTCTGACAGTCCCTTTTTGTTCCCCGTTGTGTGCATCGATCACAATGAGAGATGTTCCTGAAAGGATGCAGCGGCAAAGTTTTGTACATTCAGGAGAGCTATCATTCCTAATGAGCAGAGAATGGCAACCCACACATGAACTGGTAGAAACAGCAGTTAGTTAGAAAGATAGAAGTCCTCTCTTAGATCATTCCCAAAAAATAAATCCCGTTGTGATGGAAGGGTTACTCACTCGTGCATGCTTGTGAAAAATATTGGAATATGGTCCTTTGAGCATCATTGGCCTCTTCAATTGCACGGTGCTTTAACAGGATAATGCAGGTAAACTGTGGACATCTAATGGAATATTTAAATAGAATATTTCATTTGGAAGGGACCACAATGATCATCTAGTCTCACTGCCTGACCAATTCAGGGCTGACCAAAAGCTAAAGGATGTTATTAAGGGCATTTTCCGAATGGCTCTTAAACGCTGACAGGCATGGGGCATCAACCACCTCTATAGGAATCTGGTCGCTGGGGAAAAAATGATGCCAAATAGATGATCTAGAAGGATGTTTTGGAGTCTTTTATGGTTTTGAAAGGGTTGTAGGAAGGTTCCATGGTGTCCCCTCTGTTGAGAGAAGAAATAGCACCTGACTCAGAGGAGAAGGCTGTGGTGTAAACATGGATGACTCCAAACTGACCTCTGTCATATCCTTAGTCTTTCAGAAGATATTGTTACTGGATTCCCTGAGACGTCTGAAATTACTTTTAACAGCTTTATATTGAAATCCTTCAACTCAGTATTACAATTTTCCTTTCTCCAGTGAATCTTGAGCATACAGTTTGCTTACTGTAACATTGCTGACTGATGAGGTTTAAAATAGGAGTTAGCTTTAAAATGCCATTGAAGCATTTTCACAAACAGAAATATAAAGATGACCAAATTCTACTGAAAAAAGGAAAATCGTTGGTAAGTCAAATTCTGACCCTGATAACTTTAATGGCCTTTTTTGTAAAGATTCAGCTCCCATTTTACGCAGTGATAGTCAGCTAGTGCTCTTGAACGTGTCCTGGTCATTAAGAATGTTTTTTAACTTTTCCATCCTGTAATGAGGTATAACAGGCCAGTTGTTGGAGACTAAATGTTTCATTGATTGCAAGACCTGTGAAACAAAATACTTGGAAATCTCCTGATGCTGATTAATGTAGGGGATTGAAAAGGTGTGCACATCAGAAATGTACCTGCTTTAGCCTTCATTTGCTCTTCAGTGTGTGACATTTAGGAAGATCAAATTAGCATCTCTTGTCCTTTCGGTTATGTGTAGCACTAAGTGGAAATGAAGAAAAACCTGTTTCTAGAAAGCACAGTACATGGGAACGTTAGTTGAGAGTAGCTGACCTTTACATAAAGGGGACTATAAAATTTCTTTCTTTTTTAAATAAACTATCAGTTGTGACTTCATTTCCTAACTCTAGTAATGTCAAGAAAATAGTGTTAATCAAATTGCAATATTTTCCAGAATACTGTGGATTTTTCCTCTCCAAGTGAAACAAATGAACCTAATTATAGTAATGCTTTTGATTTATTTTTTTTTTCCTGTACTGGTAATTAGTCTTTAGTTCCTACAACTAAATATACCTCTTAGTGTCTTAAAATGCTTACAATATCCAGTCTGAAAGAGAATTAGCAAGTACATTATTAGTGGGTCATTTATGAGTTGCTTGTGTTTCTTTTAGATGAATACATGTTGCAGTTGAGATAAATTATGTCATTTTTGTGTGTATACAGAATCAAAATAAAAATGTATGTAATTATATTTTAAGGGAGAATCATAGAATCATAGAATGGTTTG